TGTAGTAAACTTGATCAGCGTTTAATTCTTCATCTGGCACCTTCTCGGCATGGCCTTGATCAAAATAATCTTTCATAGCCGCAGAGTAGCTTTCCTTAAGCACGGGATCACKTGCTAATCGCCTTTCAGTCTGTTCAAGCCTCTTTAAAGCTACAGATCGGCTTTCCCCGAGACTACAATCAGCCTTGAAGGGTAATGATACCACAYATCTACCATCTTCACGATAAGTTGTTGCCTTGAAATGCTGTTCACACCTTTTCTCCTCCAGAGATAGAWTTGTGGCTGAAGGAATCTCCTCGATTTCCCAGAACCTCTTCATAAGATCATCTCTTTGCACTAAGTGAGCCAGAGTGCTATCAGAATTAACATTAAGACACGGCGACGCAATTGAGCCAGTGACAACCCATCCAAAAATCGATAACTGAGCAAGCATTTCTCCATCAGGACGCTTTAACACTCCAACATCGCCAACCATAAGACGAGCATAAATATCACCTCCAAGTAGAATGTCAATTGGACCAGGTGTGAGAAAATGTGGATCCGCTAACTCAAGACTGTCCAACTGAGGCCAATCAGTTCCAGAAATAGAACGCCTAGGAATAGTCGATGCGATCCTATCGATAACCAAAGCGTTCACCAAAACACAAGAACTTGAAGACACAGRCGATAATCGTAAAACAACATTACGCTTTACCGTACCATTGCAAACTCCTCCGATACCACTGACATTAAYACCTCCATTAATAGACGTTTTAAKACGTAAACGCTGCACACAACCTTGCGTGATGAAGCTTGATTGGGATCYGGGATCCAACAATGCTCTGCACAAAACTTGATCACCGTCCTCCGTATAAACATTAACAATTGCCGTTGCAAGTAAAACCTCTTTGCAAAAAATAGCAGGCTGATCCACACAAGTAGAAACGTTTGAAGTACTTGCCACAACAAAGTTATCACTCCTGTCAATTGAAGCCTCCACGCCATGTTTAGGTATGTCGTCATAATGAAGTGTAGGATGATGTTTCTTCCTACAAGTTTTGCAACTTGCAGGCTTAGGGCATTGATTCACAAAATGCTGCCGCGAGAAGCAGTTCACACACAACTTTAAACTCAGCACTTTAGCTTTCCTTTGACGAGAATCCAGACATGTGTATTCCGGACAATAAGCCAGTCGATGATCTCCTTTGCACAAAAAACACACTTCACTTTGAGTAACATTGAAGCATTTACTTGAAGCAGTAGCAGTAGAAGCAGACGATAATTGATTAGGCTTGTTAACTCTCTTGGACTTCTCTTCAGACGCCTCCAGTGCATAAGCATGATCACGAATAAAATCATACATTTCCTTATATGTAGGATTAACGTTGCTTGCTGTGTGTTTTTCCCATTCAAATCTTGTTTCATTGTCTAGCTTCTTTTTCAAAAAGTAAACAATCCAAGAATCCCATTGATTGATTTGCTCATCAAAATTCCTTAACGCCTGAAGATTTTCATTCACGTTGTTTATCAGCTTGCGTAGATTATAAGCACTTTTCTTGCTGACACTTGAAACATTGAATATTGCATCAAAATGTGCTTCTCGAATATTCTTCTTATTTTCGTATCTTCCTTTCAAAAGCGATAGAGCAACAGCATAATTAGCATCATTTAGATTTAAATTTCGCACCAGAGTTGCGGCCTCTCCCTTGAGACAAGACTTGAKATATTGCAGCTTTTGAACCGGAGCCAAATTCGGCTTCGAATCCACTGCACACTTGAAACTGTCGAAAAATTCCACCMACTGCTCGTAACMACCATAAAAACTCTTCAATTCGAGTTGAGGCAACTTTGCTTCACTTGAAGACACACTTTTAGAAGATGATAACAAATCCTCGAAAGACTTTTGTTGTTGCKCCGTGATGCGTTGTAAAGATTCAACTTGATTTGTGACGATTTCTTTTACGGCTTGTAATAGTGTTGAATCCAAACTCGCTGTATTATCCGCTGACGATTTTGCTGCTCCCTCACAGAAGAAGTTATCCTGAATTATTTCAATAATTTCTTCAGTGCCGGTACATTTGTCTTGAAACAGCTTGTAAGATAAATGAATTTCTTCCAATTGATCCACCGTAGATTCCACCAGTAAATCTTCAAAGTATTGATCATATTTCTCCTTGTAAGCGTTAAGAGCCGCTTGCTTACTTGCCAAAATTTTCGCCGTAGTTTTCACCTCACCATCTTCGGTACTTATACTCCTCACGTAATCGTAAATACAGTCGACTTGATATTTTACACCGTCCCTTTTCTTGAGTAAACGCTCCATTATACTAGGTTGCAAATTCCATCAGAAATGCCGTAGCTTCACATCCAGACAACATTATCCGCTAAAATACCACTAAGTCGCTACTATCATCCGGCTCGAAGGACCATGTTTATATCGTTCAGAAAAAATCCAGTCTTGACTTAACTTCTTTATTCGGTTCGGTTC